TAATACTACAAAATATGCCCGATGTTACAGTTACTGCACTTGCCGCAGCCGCCCAGAACATTAACATCCCAATCGAGTGAAGGGATTTGTGGAAACTGAAATGGAGCACACATCTTACCTAATTCAGACTAAAACACATCTATTTAGCCTCACATACTGACTTTATTTGTAGTTCATTCTGTTTTACCTGTATACCCTGTATTTTATTTCTCATTTTTAGGAAAAGCACTTAATTACCATTGTTTATTTCTATACCAAATGTCATACACTTGCAATGAAGCTAAAAATATAAACAACTACATCATTATGTTGATATCCTATATTTTTACAATAAAACTTACGACAAACATGTCTTCTAATATCCTCAGTTGTTGCGTATACCGAGCTGCATCGAACACATTTGTAAATTACTTTCCTTAAACCCATTGTGCGAGTTCACTTTAATACTGCGTGCTTTATATACAGGTCCTTCTAAAAAAATTAGCATATTGTGATAAAGTTAATTATTTTCCATAATGTAATGATAAAAATGAAACTTTCATATATTTTAGATTCATTGCACACCAACTGAAATATTTCAGGTCTTTTATTGTTTTAATACTGATGATTTTGTCATACAGCTCATGAAAACCCAAAATTCCTGTCTCAAAAAATTAGCATATCATGAAAAGGGTCTCTAAACGAGCTATTAACCTAATCATCTGAATCAACTAATTAACTCTAAACACCTGCAAAAGATTCCTGAGGCTTTTAAAAACTCCCAGCCTGTTTCATTACTCAAAACCGCAATCATGGGTAAGACTGCCGACCTGACTGCTGTCCAGAAGGCCATCATTGACACCCTCAAGCAAGAGGGTAAGACAGAAAGAAATTTCTGAACAAATAGGCTGTTCCCAGAGTGCTGTATCAAGGCACCTCAGTGGGAAGTCTGTGGGAAGGAAAAAGTGTGGCAAAAAACGCTGCACAACGAGAAGAGGTGACCGGACCCTGAGGAAGATTGTGGAGAAGGACCGATTCCAGACCTTGGGGGACCTGCGGAAGCAGTGGACTGAGTCTGGAGTAGAAACATCCAGAGCCACCGTGCACAGGCGTGTGCAGGAAATGGGCTACAGGTGCCGCATTCCTCAGGTCAAGCCACTTTTGAACCAGAAACAGCGGCAGAAGCGCCTGACCTGGGCTACAGAGAAGCAGCACTGGACTGTTGCTCAGTTTTGCATGTCATTCGGAAATCAAGGTGCCAGAGTCTGGAGGAAGACTGGGGAGAAGGAAATGCCAAAATGCCTGAAGTCCAGTGTCAAGTACCCACAGTCAGTGATGGTCTGGGGTGCCATGTCAGCTGCTGGTGATGGTGCACTGTGTTTTATCAAGGGCAGGGTCAATGCAGCTAGCTATCAGGAGATTTTGGAGCACTTCATGCTTCCATCTGCTGAAAAGCTTTATGGAGATGAAGATTTCATTTTTCAGCACGACCTGGCACCTGCTCACAGTGCCAAAACCACTGGTAAATGGTTTACTGACCATGGTATTACTGTGCTCAATTGGCCTGCCAACTCTCCTGACCTGAACCCCATAGAGAATCTGTGGGATATTGTGAAGAGAAAGTTGAGAGACGCAAGACCCAACACTCTGGATGAGCTTAAGGCCGCTATCGAAGCATCCTGGGCCTCCATAACACCTCAGCAGTGCCACAGGCTGATTGCCTCCATGCCACGTCGCATTGAAGCAGTCATTTCTGCAAAAGGATTCCCGACCAAGTATTGACTATTGAGTGCATAACTGAACATAATTATTTGAAGGTTGACTTTTTTTTTTTTGTATTAAAAACACTTCTTTTATTGGTCGGATGAAATATGCTAATTTTTTGAGACAGGAATTTGGGGTTTTCATGAGCTGTATGCCAAAATCATCAGTATTAAAACAATAAAAGACCTGAAATATTTCAGTTGGTGTGCAATGAATCTAAAATATATGAAAGTTTAATTTTTATCATTACATTATGGAAAATAATGAACTTTATCACAATATGCTAATTTTTTGAGAAGGACCTGTACATGTTGCTGCTGATTGGACTGCAGTTCTGACACACCCACCAAACAAGAGAAAACGTATCTCAAACCCCTTTGCACACCGGTGCACGCCGTTTCCAGGAAACATAACGTTCAACCCGGAAACCGTAGCAAAACGTTGCGCACCGTTTTGAACTTGAACGTGCCCCTGGTTAAAACCAGACCATTCTCAGTTGTAACTGAGTTACGGTCTGTCTGGCAAAGCGTCATAGACAAATCATTTCCAGAGGGGTGTCACCAACGGACGTCGCGGATAGACCTAAACCCAATCAGAGCGATGAAGGAGATGACGTATGCAGAGCGGCGGAGAAATATCTCCGAGTGTTGTTCTTTGCTCGGTTTTTAACTAAAAGGAAACGTACGTTCAAATCGCTTAAAACAGACGCGATAGCTGATTCGAATGAGTGATGTTCGACGGCAGTATCCTTCTTTGTAATGTAGGCTACAAAATCTGCTTCAAAATCCCAGCACTGTCGTCATCGTGTAAAGCCCGCCCCAACGTTTCTGATTGGTGCCGCGATTTCGACGGATTGGAAATGGGCTTGAATGAGCTCTTTGCCAGACTAACTTTCAGAGCAAATCTAAATTTGCCGGAAGTTCTCTGGGTTTTCCCAGGCTAAGTTTTGGCACGATTCTCTCACTCACTTCGCAAGCGCGAAGAGGAGGGCGGGTCCACCTTCATCATGTAGCCAATCAAATGAGCTTCTCGCTGACACTCGATTTCCTCTGATCTGATTGGTTCAATAAACACGCCAGTCACTAGAACACATCTTTATCTGTATTTGGCTCAGAAATGTTCTCATTGCCGAAATGGTACTTTTAATGCACACATGTTAAATAAATAAATAAATGAACAAATAAATAAATAGATAAATAAATAAATCATGATTGCTTATTAGGCTGTGCACCATTAGGCTGACTATATGAGCCAAAACTGAATTTCGAGCTGGTGTGTTAAGAAAGAAAACGTCTGTGTAATCAGTGCATGTATGCTCTTTTTAGGCCATACCAGTTTGTAATCTTGATGCTGCTGAATGTAGGCCTAGTATCTGCACTACTGCATGCATAATTTCACCTGTCTACTGATCGGGGGGATTCCAGAATTATTATAGTTATTTATTTTACTAAAATGAGTTATAATAATATTTTTTCCCATGTATTTTAAGAGCATCTCTAAATTATGCACAATTTATCACCTGCAATTCCATCGTGTAGCCTAACAACTAGATGGCTGTTTAGCCTTATACATATCTATGCTGTGTATTCCCTGGTTGCTGGGTTTTTATTCAGACATAATTAGTCACTTTTTGTCAAAGTTGAGTTCATGTTGATTTAGTATCAGTTTTTCATTACAGTCAAATCTGGACACTGGCATTTTGTTATTCATAGCTAGCTACATAATAGCTTGATCAGTCACACAGAAGTAATCAGAATCAATATTGACAGTGCAAGACAATATTTCAAAATATATAACTGAGTGTTAAATACCATGAACAGAGACATGATGTGAAAAACACTGCATCAGAATGGTATTATTACATAAAGAATGGGTATTAAATGTTTGGATTGTAAAGTTTAACATCGGCTCAGTGGTGTAACAGATTATATAATGTATACAATTTAAATCCAATAACATTTACACCAGCTCGAAATTCAATATGAATGTCAGTCAGCCTGGTGCACAGCTTATTAAGCAATCATGATTTATTTATTTGTGTTTTTATTTATAGCCTATATTTAACATGTATGTGTGCATTAAAAGTACCATTTCGGCAATGAGAACATTTCTGAGCCAAATAAAGATAAATATGTGTTCTGGTGACTGGCGTGTTTATTGAACCAATCAGATCAGAGGAAATCGAGAAGCTAATTTGATTGGCTACATGGTGAAGGTGGACCCGCCCTCCTCTTCGCGCTTGCGAAGTGAGTGAGAGAATCGTGCCAAAACTGAAAGCGCAGGTAAAAGAGAGACGCAACTAAACACAAATCGGGTTATTTCAGGAACTTTTTTGCCCCATGCACACAACAAGTCATTTAGACATTTGCAACAGTTTATTTTTTTTACACAAAGTTTGATTTTACGCAGTTAATCTTTTTTGCTGTTCCTGCCTCTGTTGTTTTCGCTTGCAGATAGCTGTTCACAGGCTTGCAATGCTTTTGGCCGCATTTGTGCGCAAAAACCGTGCCAAAAGTGTAAGCGCGGAAAAGTGAAAGTCTGAAGAATACATATATTTATTTTGCGTTAGCATGAAGCTGCAGCTTCAAAATACACGAATCAGCCTACGAATAACAGTTAAAAGCTGCAAATATTTTTTTCTTACACTTGAAAGGCGATTTACACCTTTACAAATCTTCTCTTGCGCATGCAAATTTATTTTACGCTTGCAATCTTATGTACTCTTTCACAAATCTTACCCTGCGCATGCGATTCTTTATGACATCATTTTACCTTCATAATCCCATGCACCTTTAATATTTGTTTGCATTCTTGCGATACGGCGCGTAAGAAATGGAGAAGGAGGAAGCGAAAGGAAAGGAAAGGAAAGGAAGGACGACCTGCTACAGAATGGACGAAAGTTCCATTAGAACCTCTCACACCCTGACATCTGGGGACACTTCACCCGACGATTTAGGATGACCCGCTGTCAGAGGAGGCTCACTGAGGCACTGTAAATGCATGTTACACAACAAAAGTACATTTGATTTCATGGATGCTACATTTCCAATTTCCCTTGTCTGCAGAAATTGCGTTTCGATGTAACCTAGGGTCATAAGCGTCAAATGATTTGAGTCACTGAGAAGAATCAAATCCCACAGTCCTAGACCCTCCCTCGGTGGGCGGAGCCAAGCACAATTTGTCCCATCATGACGTTGCGCACATGGCGTAGGTTATGGCAAGCGCCACACCCAGCTGTGCCTGAACTGCAGTTCGCAGGGACTCGCTTGTATAATAGGGCAACCAGTGGCACGGAGCTCATGCTGCTGCTGTGCCTCCCCTCATGTCCCAATATAGCAATAACAGCAGAAGGCGGCCATGCATTAACAAGTCGAGAGCCTTTTACTGTTCGTATATTTGCAACTGTTGCGCTGACCAAAGTAAACACTGATACATTGTAATGTTCTATCAGCCTGTTGAAAATGGGCTTGTTTTTATATATCGCTGGATCTGCCATCCCCACCGAGGCCAGTGTCTATGAGGTGAGAAAAAAAAAAATGTCTTATTGAACTTTGTCGGTTGTTTGTGTCGGTGTAATGTTGGGCTCTGAATGGCACACTCAGGCTCTGCCACTTGTTGACTCGCCGGTTTAAAATTATGTTATCCTCACTTTGGAGCGCTTTGTAAGTTTGTGTTATTAACAGTGTCCACTCGTCGTTTTATTTATTTTGCAATCTGATATCTGTTTATTACGAGTATTGCGTGCTGCTAACCAGTCTTGCGTCAAGTCACGGAAGTGTGAAACTGTGTCTCAAATCCTATTTGGCTGCTGCTTGCTCGACACCATTTTGGACATAACGTGATGGCCAAAATGCTGTCTAGGTAGACACCTCCCTATGTTTTGGAGACACGGCCTAAACCCGGACCAGATTCAGTAAACAAAAGTATGCAGTGTTAGCAGTGGCTAACAATTCAAATGTCACAGATTTCGAGACTTTTATTGTGGCGTTTATAGCTGATTTGAACTAAATGCACTAGTTGTCAATTACCAGTTGTGTTGAGAATATAAATTATTCTATGAGCATGTACAGTGTAACTTGATTTAAAATTGGCCTAAATTGAATTAAGTAATTAATGGCTAATTTGTCTTGCACACCTGACACGTCTTGATCTCCTTTACAAAGGTCTGGATTTTGTTATCGCTGAAGATAGTGCTGAGCCCATTGTCTGTAGTTCAAAGAAGTGAATTTATCACTAAAATGTGCTGAGTGAAATGTTCTGAGTGTTTTTTTTCTTTCTTGGTCTTTGAGGGATCCCCCTGTAGCCTACATATCTTTTTGATCAATTACAACTTGGCTTGTCATGTCTTATACAGTAAAGAAGTGCTGCAAGGTGCACAAACATGTTTACAGCACGTTATATTCAAATTTATGGATTGTAAACTGGTAGCATAACAAAATCTGACAATTAGTGTAAAACGTCCCCAAATGCCTTCAGTATTGTTCTAAAAAATAAAGGTAAAATAAATAAATAAATATTGTTTTGTTGTCTGGTCACTATGTCTGACCTTGATAACTTGCAAATGTGCTAAAATCCACAAGATATAGTAGAATATGTTTGTACGAGTGGACATTTTTATGATTATTCTTGAAGTAATTTTCTGCATGTTGTGATGTTATTCACATCTTATATAGAAGGCTAAACAGAATAGAGTTTACCTTGCATTTACAGTATGCATGAAAATAGACTGCAATAGGTCCTGTCATCTACCGGTCCTTGGGTCCAAAGGGCATTGTGAGTGTGTGTTTTATTGGATGTAATTGAGTTATTGGTAAAAAACAAAAAAAAAACAATGCCAGGACCAAAATTATGCTTTTGCTTTGATGGTTCTGAATGTTTTCGGGATGAGAGTTGTTCCTAAACGACATGAGCAGGTTCTAATGTTCTAATACAAGGTACATGCTGGTTTGCAGGTCCAGTAGAAAGAGATTGCTAAGGAACTTGCAGTAGGGTAAAACGATTTAAAGAAACCTGTGCATGAACCCTGTTGTAGTTGGTGTAACTTGCAGGGGTGTGGCTTGTAGTACTGCGGGACACAGACAGACCCTTCTCATAGAATTAAGTGAGTGTGAATTACCAGAATTACCAGACCAACGCTGCGGGGTGCTCATTCGGATTTGGACCTTCCAAACAACGGTTTGACTGAAATATGAATGCAGCATGGACCGAAGACACCTAATTGAACCAAAAAAAAGGACGCAATGTCACAAGATGCGAGAAATTCCCCTCTATTCCTTAATTCACTATTCCCTACATTACTCCTAATAAAGTCCACTTGAATGAGTTAACGAAAACAAGTGAGTGAATTGGGAGTGAGTGCTGAAAAGGGTTGCCGCTTTTGTGTAGTTAGTCATTTGAAACTTAGCAAACTGGCAGCTCCAAATCAGTAGTATTGAACATATTTATCTTGAACTCTGTCATGCTAGCACGTATAAACTTTAATTAAACAATTTAATAATCAATAAAAAAATAATTTATACCTGTATGATATTACTCTTTACACATTGGACGGTTTGGAAAATGGATAGATGAATGATTCAGCTGCTGGCGACATCTTCGGGCGAGGCGGGAATTAATTCGGCTTGACCCTCACAATGCATTATGGGTATTTTCTAGCTGTTGAGTGTACATCAGTTGTACACTTGTTATTGTAGTGAACTATGGGGTTGAATGAGTGAGTGCACTCGATAACGTCCACTTTGGTTTCGGACATTACTAAAATGGCTGTCCCCTAAAATTGTGCCGTATGTAAGTGTATAGGGGGCGATTTCAGACATAGCCCTAGTTTTTCTCATCATAAGATCTACATTGCCCATTACAGTTCAGTAGGCGTGGAAACGCTGTCTCCTTGCAGCAGATCTTCATTTGTGTTCAACGGAGGAATTCCTGGCACTGTTGCGAATTTTATTTAGCCTCACATTTATTTTACTGAACCAAATTTGCATCTGTATGTCAGCAGTAGGGAAAATTTAGTTGCATTTTGTTTTGTGATTTCACTGGAAAAGATTGCAAGTCAGGAAAAAGTGATAGATTGGCAATTTGGCAACTGTCTGTCATGTGCAGGAGAGAAACTTGCATGTTAACATACACCAACAAAAAACTCTTTCTCTATAATTGAAGATGCCTGACACAAGCTATTTTGAGTGGTAGAACAAAATTGACCTTTCCAAAAAGTGGTGGGGGCAAAGTACACTATATGCTGCCTTGTATACTGTATATAGGACTAGTCAGCATATAGAATTGCATTGGTTATTCTATGCTATTTGTTCCTTGAAACTTGATGGGCTATAGACATTTAGTAATTTTGGTGCCATAAACCTGTAAATAACTCTCAAAGTACTGAAGTAGGTTAGCTACAGGCTGGCTATAGTTCCATCAGATTCAATTCAATTCAAATTTATTTGTATAGCGCTTTTCAAAATACAAATTGTTTCAAAGCAGCTTTACAGAAAGAGCATTTCAGTAATGTACATAGAAAAATACAGTTAGTTAATCATCATGTATTAATTTAGGGCATAACATATCGCCGGCGTTGAGTCGTCTCTTCACAGGCGTCGAGTCGTCTCATCGCAGGTGTTGGGGCATCTGAAGTCTCCGTGAGAGGCTGGATACAAACTGGAGCTGACGAACGCTATTTACCTCGGGACTAGCGTCCCGAGATAACAGCAGAAAAGCAGATGGGAAATAATTAGCATAGCTGCTGTTCATAATATTAATGCATTCAATCTGATTCAACAGTGGTATAAAAGGTAAGCATTATGTGAATGCTTGGCTGAAGAGATGCGTCTTTAATCTAGTTTTGAACTGGGAGAGCGAGTCTGAGCAACGAACAGTATCAGGAAGGCTATTCCAGAGTTTAGGAGCTAAATGTGAGAACGCCCTCCCTCCTTTAGTGGACTTAGATATCCTAGGAATGACCAGAAGCCTCGAATTTAGGGATCTTAAAGAACGCGATGGATTGTAGGGCGATAGAAGATCCATTAAATACACAGGAGCTAAACCATTTAGGGCTTTATAGGTCAGTAGTAGTACTTTGTAATTGATACGGAACTTAATAGGATGACAGCATAACCTGAAGATAAACCACACTCACCAGTTACAAGTTAAACAGAGCAGCATTTGTGGACAGTTCCTCCCTCCAAATAAGAATTAAAATCTCATGTTCACCCAAAAGTCTCTTGAGTTTTAGCTGACTCAGTAGTATCATATGCTGTCGCTGATACTCAACTTCTCACTAAGACTGTGGAAAACAATGTTAGCTAGTCAAGGATCCTTATTAGACTGGCCAACATTATCTTCTGCTTTCAGCAACTTCTCATTATAACCTATTAAACTTAATTAGTTTTCTGATATAATGTTTTCTGGCACTGAAACTGGATATGGATAGTCTCTGCAGCTGCAACAAATTAGTTCAATCTGCCAAGGTCTTCACACATCTTTCAGATCTTACACACCTTCCTTTGGACACATTTAAAATCACACATAAAAACATGTAGTGCCATTTATTTGAAAGAGAATTTTTTTAAGCATGCAATAGAAAAAAAAGTTAAACAATAGATGTACTTTATGGTTTTCAAACTTGGTCTTCATAGTTATTTTGATGAACAACACTTGTGGTTTCTCTGGTAGGACACTTGAGGAAAACTGACATCATACAGTGACTTAAAGGCACAGTATGTAAATTTCGCTTCTAGAGGTCACTGTTTCTAAAAAACAACAAAGGCGTTGCTTGATGAAGCGTGAAGGAGCGTGGAATCATGGGACTTGTCGTATTCACCTCCACAGCCAATGGAAAGAAATTATGCTCATGGATGAGCTAATCTAGTAAAGTTGTATTAGCGTTACTGTTGTATGAAGCAGGGTGGGGCTGAGAGCCCGGGACATTTTACCTTGCTGTTTTTATTATGCTAATGTAGCAGCACAGTCGGCTGCTGCTACTCCTTTCACTTCATTGTTTATGCATATTTTGATTAAAGTTACGTTTAACGTTCGCTTCTTTCTTCCCTGATCTTGAACTTTGTTACATTTGATCACATTAACATTATTATTTTCAATCTAATAAAACAGTGCTGAATTACTATTCATACAGGTCACTTAATCTTACAAAACAAAATTGTGGGGTAATGCAGCGCCGTTTTTCTTGGTGAAAACAATCATACTAAAAATACATTTGAGTCTGTTGAAAGTTGTTATAACGTTACTCTGTGCAATCGCTAGGTGACTGGTATGAGACACTTGTGGTGCATTGCAGTAAGCTGAGTCAATATTAGAATATCTTATTAAAAGCGGGATGAATGGCATGCAATTCATTTTAAAATATAGCCTATTACATGGCAGAGAAAAGGCTGTATTATTGTCCCTACAAATAAAGCTCTTTCTGATTATGCTGCTGACAAAATAATGTTTTCTGTGAGGCATGGCACAAGCATGTTATTTGTGGTAAATCAAGAAAAATGAGACTCAAAGAGTAAGACTAAATGTGTTGAACTATATAAACTATATAATTATTAGTTTTCTGTCGATAAAGGTATCCGAACAGTTGCTCACCTGTCTAATAAAATGCATAATATATTATGCGTTAGGGTGTTCATGGTTTCAGGAAATCAAGGGTAGCTTGGATACGGGGTCATCGACAGGCGGCATGGGCCGTTTCACTGGTTAAAATAGCTTATTTCTCTGGATTTAAACATTGTTGAAAACATTTGGGATAATGCAAGTACACTAATCAACAAAATAACATTGTTCTAGTGGTTTTGGGATATTTTGATCCAAAAATCTTATATATTGTGCCTTTTAAAATAACCTTGACACCATTTGGTTGAGAGCATAAATCCAAAAATGGGTCAGGAAAGTAGAATTAGTTCTGAGAAAAGGTCTTGCGTCATTTGTTTGCAGATTCCACATGGCTTGATATTTTGTATTCAGTCACAGTGTAATGTGATTCATACATGTTGTGTGTCTTAAGTGTCCAAATACTTTTTTGGGTCACTGTGTTTAATAATATCCAGAAACAGTATGTCCAGTCTCTTGTTGCAGAGTCAGCATTGGTTAATTGCTGATATTTGTGTTTGGTGAAATGACTCACTCAAAGTGTCACGGGGTTAAATTATATACTGATACACCATAATAATACAAGATGTAAAAATAGATCACATGCACATACTGAAAGCTTATCAAAATTGTGATATGTATAAACAGTTTTCATCAACCAATGATACCCAAACAAAGGCAAAATGCTTTAACTAAATACTATACTTTGTAGATTTATAATTAAAATATTTTAAAGGGTTAGCCTAGTTGAAAATTTAAATTGAAAATTCTTAAAATGAATTACTCAACCTTATGTCATCCAAACCAGTAAGACCTTAGATTAGAAGATTTGGAAGAACTAGTAAGATTTGGAACACAAATTAAGATATTTTTGATGAAATCCGAGAGCTTTCTGTCCCCCCATTGACTCCAACGTTATTACCACTTTCAAGGCCCAGAAAGGTAGTAAATACATTATTAAAATAGTCCATGTGACTGACCACAGTGGTTCAACCTTAATGTGAGGAGAGTACTTTTTGTGCTAAAAAAAAATAGCGACTTTATTCAACAATCTTTTCTCTTCCGTGTCAGTCTCTGATGCTGTTCACGTAGTCAACACAGTGCAGCGCTTCCAGGTTCTACGTCAGAACGCCGGCTCATTATTGGCCGACGCTGTTCACGTGAGCACCACGGGAGCCGGCCAATACTGAGCCAGCGTTCTGACGTAGAACCTGGAAGCGCTGCACTGTGTTGACTATGTGAACAGCTTAGGAAAATGACGTGGAAGAGATTGTTGAATAAAGGACTATTTTAACAATGTATTTACTACCTTTCTGGGCCTTGAAAGTGGTAATAACTTTGCAGTCAATGGAGGGACAGAAAGCTCTCGGATTTCATGAAAAATACCTTAATCTGTGTTCTGAAGATGAACGAAGGTCTTACTGGTTTGGAACGACTTGAGGGCGAGTAATTGACAGAAATTTCATTTTTGGGTGAACTAACTCTTTAATGTAGAAGTACAGAAGTACATGGTGAAACTACATGTTAATGTAGTTGTTTCACCATAAATTCTATGGAACTATGGAAAAACATATTTTTAACTCAATATGGTAATGTAATTGTATCCAATCATCCTAGCCTAGAAATCTAGATGCACCCTAGCGGCAGCAAAAATTATTTTGCTGCCAGTGTGGTCTAGCAACTCTCCGTTGGCTTTCGAAGTGGAAAAAACAAACTCTGGTCAGGCCAATCACATCGTGTATAGAGTTGGTGGGCGGGCTTAGCACAATGACGGCAGAGTTGTGACGGTTCTGCGCCGTGATTTCCATAGGTGATTTCCCTGCTACTGATGCTATTATGAATGTAATAGATAATAATACTCTGTGATCCTCTGTATGTGTATGTTGTATATTGTTCTTGTTATGCAATACTTTTTTTTTTTTAACTCAGGTAAAGTAAAAAAAAAAAAAAGATTTCCCTGCTACTTGAAAACAAAGAAGATGCTGCTGGCGAACAGCGGTCTTTCGAATCGGCTTTGACCGCGACTCTGGAGGACTTGGAGTTAAGAGAACGTCACTTAGACATTCTTAAAAAAGGAAGATGTGTTCGGAGTTTTGACGACCCGGATACGGCAAAGGTTTAATATATCAACTATAGCTCCGCTGGTGGGAAAACGCATGGGACTCACTCAGCCACAGCCGCTCGTTGCTCTGGTTGGTTGTAGCGCTATCCTATTGCGTGCCGAGGGATATTGAAAGACAACCGTTTATCCCGCCCCTCAGATTGAGGTATGCCAATTGTGAGTTCCCAGACCTAACATCTTGATGTAGGTCTGGCTTGCCAGGCTACAGTCATCCCCCATTCACATTATAATGTTTTTACAATGTATAGGTAGGGATAAAGGAAAAAGGTGAAGAAAATGCTGCTTTAGATAAGTTTTAGGATCTAACTAAATGAAACAGAACAAAACATTGTATGGCATTGGGATGTTAGGCAATGTTTTTGGTAACCTTTTCATTTTATTTTGTACTGTCTACTCCCATAATATTGAGGGAGCATCTCATTACAATGCAGACCTCCTTACACTCCTCTGCAGCATGGAATTTTCCGTAGACCAATCCCTGTCCCCTGTTTGAGTGAAGTGTGTGTGTGTGTGTGTGTACCCCTGTTCATCCCCTGTGTATCGCGACTATTGTGCTGAAAGGACTTTCACAAGGCTGAAGGGCTCTGGAGTAGCATGTCTGTATTGCACCAGAAGACAAGAATGGTATAGAACCTGATCTCTTAACTTTCTTATTTAATCATTAACTGATTCATGAAATGGAACAAACATGCCTTGCCTATTGTGCCTACCTTTTAAAGGTTTCTGCTTATTTTGTTCTGATCTACCTGTAGTCTTTGTTTTCTTGAGGGTAACATGGTGTCCGGTGCTTAATGTGTAACTTGATTTACTGAAAGAGAAAGGAAGTTAATGTAAAAAATTCTGTAAATTTTAGATTTCGCTGTACACAACATTGGCAGTTCGATGCTATAAATATTCTGAGTGTACTGTACAGGCAGCTTTTGTTCTTTTATGTCAAGTAGTTGACATGAATCAAGATTCTGAATTATGTAGCCAGTGCTTTGTTCAGTGATATGACAAATTTTTTTGTAACCCCCAGATCTAACAAAGTTATTTCAGGTTGTAGGTTTTCATGTTTCAACCCCGAAAAAAGCAATGATATTTACAAATCAATTCAGCATATAAGGATTTATCTTGAAAAATATATTTAAACCTTTTTGAAAATAAATTATTGATATGTCTACATTAACATGTTTAAGGAAAATATGTTGTTTCTGTTTAAATTGTTACTCCACATGACATTTTGTTTTTCAAAAATGGCATAGTTTTATAATTTTAATGTTTTGTTTTGTTTTTAATGGGCATTATTATTTAACATTGACCCACTTCTCTGGTAAAATGTTTGATTCAGAGATTTACCTGACAAAGCATATTTACTGTTTTATTTCACACAGGTGATTAACCTGTTTACTGTAAAACACATTGCAACCAAATATTGCACTGTATTGAGTAAATACTTTACACACTGGATTATACTGCTAAATTGAGCTAAACTTAGCCTATTCGTTTTATTTTCAAACAGTTTCAAGTACTTTGGTGGTAGATTAGTACAGTGATGGTATAAGATGGAAATATAATACTTGCTGAATAATTATGGGACATGGTATAATTCTACACTGTGCTTAATGATAACCATACTCATATTGGATACGTGGTTAATATAGCATGATTTCAGTCCAAAAATCACAATATTACCATACCATATCCAAAACCTTTCTATTTCTAAGTTTCTAAAAAAAAGTTTCTTCCAAGAATTCTCAAAAAAAATACTTTTCTTTTTTTTTTTTTTGGTCAAGATTTGTTCTAGAGATAAACGCTGAATTCACAAGACATTTATCTTGTATCAATTTTTTTTTTTTTTTTTCAGCAGGTACTTCACTGTGAGGGAGTGAATAACAAAAGCTACGTGTGTGAGACGGGACACTGTTGTGGAGAGTCCCAGTGCTGTAGCTACTACTATGAAATTTGGTGTAAGTGCATCTTCATGTTTAATATCAGGGTCACAATGTTTCATAGGAATTCATAAAGGGCTCGTTCACATTCAAGAATGATGACGAATTAAAACTTCCAAGCATTCATTAAACTACGTAACATTTCTCCGCCATCAGCTGAAATTCCTGATCGTACCGATTCAGATAAATGTATTTTGCCTGTGGAATTTTGCTGTTTAAGGTGAAATGTAACCCAGCCTTAAGAGGTTTAGAAGAACTAAACAATATGCTGAAATGAGGAGGAAAGGCTGTTGTACAGGAAGTGAGTTCAGTTTAAGATGCTCAACCTTCTGCAAACTGTGGAGTAAGAATGACATGAGTCTCGCAAATACTTGTGTGACCATATATGCACAAGCAGTGGTTTTAGAGGAATTAGTCAGGTTTTAAGTAGCAGTATAAAGTACAAATGCATACTTTAAATGTTTTTTATTTTTTTCGTGTGGGATTATTCCATGTTTTTTTTTTTTTTCAGGGTTCTGGCTGGTGTGGGCCATCATCTTCATCCTGAGCTGCTGCTGCGTGTGTCATCACCGTCGCACCAAACACAGACTGCAACAGCAACAACGACAGCACGAGATCAACCTCATTGCCTACAGAGAGGTTCACAACAACACCTCTATCCCCTTCTACTTCAGTAATATCATCTCTCTTATATATTCTGTTTTATTTGCTACTTTGATTCATTTAGCAAAGAACCTAGACAAATAAGGGAATTAAAAAATCAAAGTAATAATGCTTATTACTTTAAAGCTCAAACATAGAATTAATAATAAACCTAACATTCTAATACTGGAAAAGCTTTTATTGTTAATATGCATTTTCTTATATTAATACTCTGTACATAAAAAAAATGTAATTGCCTAGATGTTGTGAGTGCTTGTGTAGATTAGAATTGGTTGGCTGTCAAATGATTTGTTAAAAAATCTTGGCCGTCAATCGAATATTTTAATCAAATTAATTACTTAATATGATTTAATTGAATTAATCACGTATATCAACATTAAATATATGTGACCTGTGCTGGCAAAATGAGTCGTAATGTGCACAGGCTAATTTCGAGCTACATGCAAAACAAGTGAAAAATGTCTATTTTGAGGTTTTCCCAAAAATGAGTTCATTAAGCCCTCGTCTAGTGATCCCAACGCTCCAAATAGCAATTAAACATCTGAAATTATCTTTATTTTTACGTTTTCTGGGAGGAGCACCTTTCCTTTGTCCATGAAAAACGATCTTACTCGCGCTGACTGACAGATCTGATGCGTGCGCACAAGGACTCCTCAGACGCGGTCCTGATATACACACATACACAGAATTACAGTATTTCAAAATATCTGTCTTGGCCAGTATTCACGCAAACATTATCTGTTATGTCTTATGTGAACGTTTGGTTAACTGTTGGGGAAAAACATCTGATGTGTAACATTATTTTAGATCCGTGTGGTACATTAGGTGTATATAGGCTGTCTGTTTCATTAATGTTAATAAAACAATTGTGGTATAATGAAGAAAAGTTATATTTTTGCTATAGATGTATAGGAAATATTTGGTTTTGACTTGGTGTGTGCCAAATTTCGTGTTATTACCAGGTTATTTTAAAATAATGATTGCTAGGTGATTTTGTTTTGGAACCTTCAGAAAACTTTAACTTGATTTTTCTCAATTAACTTTGCTGACTCTATCGACTTCAAACAGGTGTAGCTCAGTCATTTTTGGTCTGATTCCAACAAATCATACGTCATTTTGAAGGTTTTTTACCCTTTTGACCTATTATTATTGAAAATTATAGTATAATATAAATAAATATATAAATAATAATAAATAATATAAAAATAAAAGTTGCTTATTGTGACTCATTTTGCCAGCACAGGTCACATAATCACATTATAGATTTGTTTAAAGTGAAAGTGAATGTCACATGACGTGAAGGACAAGTATGGTAACCCATAATCGGAATTTGTCCTCTGCATTTAACCCATCCAAGTTAGTGCACACACATTAGGAGCAGTGAGTAGTGAAAAAAGATGTTCTCAGAAAGCTGTCTTTGATGGTCTTGACCTGGTTTTGCTGATAGATGAGAATATTCGCTTACACCTACAACCACCTACTCGGCACTTGCTGCCTTTTGTTTGTTTCAGTAAGAGCACGTGTGAAAGACAGTGTTATCAAACATTTAGCTTGAGTTTTTTTCACACAATGGCATGCAAGGTTTGATCAAAGTCCCTTTTTGAGCCATGTAAGTTTACGTGTCGGGCATACTCCAAGCAATTCTTTTCTATGTAGGCAATAGGCATGCAAATATACCTGTTCTCTCCGAAACCAGTTTGTTAAGATTCGATTTCACACAAGCAACAAAAACTTTTTTTCTTAGCTCAAACTTATTTCTCTTGCCCATTAGCTCAGCTATACAGTTTTGGAACAACTTGGGTGTGTAAATGATGACATTTTTCATTTTTGGGTGAACTATTTAAGACAAACCTTAAAGGAACACTCTGACTTTTTGGGACTTTAGCTTATTCACCGTTCCCCCAGAGTTAGATAAGTCCATGCATACCCTTTTTATCTCCGTGCGTGCTGTAACTCTGTGCAAGGCTAGCGGTGGGTGCGTCAGACAAAGACTGGAAGTAAATGGCTCCAACTAGCCTACTGCTCCCAATAAGTGACAAACTAACGCCAACATTTTCCTATTTAGGGCCCAAGCCTTGAAAAGGCGAAGGCCCCTATTGTTTTCCTAAGGATTATTAGGGCCCAAGCCTTGAAAAGGCGAAGGCCCCTATTGTTTTCCTAAGGATTATTATTTATTATTAGGGCCCAAGCCTTGAAAAGGCGAAGGCCCCTATTGTTTTCCTAAGGATTATTAGGGCCCAAGCCTTGAAAAGGCGAAGGCCCTATTGTTTTCCTTAGGATTATTATTATTATTATTATTATTTTATCGACTATTCGGGCACTTTTGGGGCTCTTAACGTGCACGAAAACTCTTGAAACTTTGCACACTGGTCAGAACCCGCGGCCATCAGGGCCGGGCTGAAGCTGGTACCCGGGCGTGGCAGGGGGGCTCGACAGCGCCCCCTGGAACGGGGTCCGAAAACTTGGTCCATAAATCAAACACGCTTCCATGTAATAATATGAAACTCGGTACACATATAGATCTCATCGGTTCATATATCCTTTGTACTTTTACTTTTTACCCCAGCCCAACAGGAAGTCGGCTATTATGGTTTGTTTGGAAGCGTATGCCCCTGGAATTCGATATACTCCTCCTAGAGAATTCAACCAATCGCAAGGAAACTCGGTCAGCATGATGTCAAGACATTGAGGATGAAAAATTGCCAGGGGATTTTTCATATCTCGAACGGTTTGGCCGTGGCGAGGAAACGAATTTATGGCGAATAATGGAAACAGGAAGTGTGTTATAACTTCTGCATACATTAACTGATCTTGATGAAACTTCAACAGTATGTTCGCTGTAAGAGGCCGATCACATGGATGTGACTATTGTGAGTCAAAGTTATAGCGCCACCAACTGGCAGCAGGAAGTGTGTCACTTTCAAAATGCTTTGAAATCACCCTCTTATTTTTACCCGATTTGCTTCAAACTTCACTACTATAATGTAAACACACGCCAGATGTAGACCTGTGAATGGATTCTTGATATCTTAGATAATGTTGCCATGGCAACGCATCAAACTTTAATATTCTTTTCTTATGCTTTTGAGACTCTTAGCATGCCTGAAATTGCTTGAAATTGCATGAAACTCGACAGACAGATCAGATTTATTAGCCAGTAGACATGTGCAAAGTTTCAGAAACGGGCATGGTGCAGGGACTCAGTAGCGCCACCTTTTGACAAAAGTGGGGGTGTTAGTTTGATAGTTTTACCTACAATCATATAACTCAGTACGCTTATTGTTCAGATCAAGCCGGACAACTTTCTAATTAACTGTCATTAGCTCAGACCAAGAGGAAGTCAGATATTTTAGTTTGAATGTGGATGTTTCTGAGAATTTTCTCTCCCTCTCCCTCTGACAGAGAGAATGCACCCTGCCATTCGTGTGTGTCTGTGTCTGTGTCTGTGTGGGGAGGGGGGGAGGGGCTCTTTTAGTTTAAACACAAAATTATACATAGGGCCATACTGCCCTCTTGTGTCCAAAATTATATTACATTATACATATATTTGGTATGTGACTTGAGGACCGAGAGCTTTTAAATACGGGACATTGATAATGGCCACGTGCAGAGCGCTCGAGGGAATTCCTATGGAAGTAGGAATTAACTAAAGTTCTGCTCGCTCATCGCCGTGGACGCGCACCGTTATGAATGCCCGTGCAGCCGTTAGTTTCATTTTAAAATTAGCGCCTTTTCTGGGGCCGATTGCTTGAATTGTGAGTTCAATAGCCTATTATTCTTCATGGAAACCACAACAACAAAAGAGTATAAAAGTTTGGTGTGAACGCAGCATAATGAACAAGCTGCGATCTCAAGATTGCAATGCTGGAGTGTGTGTGTGTGTGTGTGTGTGTGTGTGTGTGCGTGTGAGAGAGAGGCGCGGGCGAACTGTGTGTGTGTGTGTGTGTGTGTGTCTGTGTGGGGAGGGGGGGAAGGGCTCTTCGAGTGATAGTTAGTTTAAACACAAAATTATACATAGGGCCATACTGCCCTCTTGTGTCCAAAATGATATTTATACATATATTTGGCAAGCATGTGACTGAGGACCGAGAGCTTTTAAATACGGACGTCCACACGGACATTGATAAGGGTTGCGCTTGCAGAGCGCTTGAGGGAATTCCTATGGAAGTAGGAATGAACTAAAAAACGTTCGCTCTGTTCTGCTCGCTCGTCGCCATGGACGCGCACCGTTATGAATGCCACTGCAGCCGCATACTTTTTAGTGTCACTTTAAAATTAGTGCAATAACGGGGCCGATTGCTTGAATTGTGAGTTCAATAGTCTATTATTTTTCACGGAAAACACAACAACAAAAGAGTACAATGATAGATTCGCTTAAATAGGGGCTTTTACATAAAATAGCCTATTCCGTCATCATCTTTTCAGTCAGCTCTGCACTCTCGTGATTAATGAAATTTGACTCCTGTTGCTGATATTTGCTGCAACTTTCGTTCCGCTCACAATTTAGTAAGCAAACACGCTTCAAATGTGTTTTTATTTTATTTTTGTGTGTATATATATATATATATATATATATATATATATATATATATAAACCCATTTTATTCCTTTTTTTCAATTTAAGAATTATTTTTAAGTTTAAAAACAGCCAGAATGGTTGTTTAGTCAAAAATAATAATAATCCAAATCATATATAGTGCTATACTGCCCTCTTGTGTTCAAAATCAGGTAGGCCTATTGAATTTATATATATTTATATATTAGGGATGTTACTATGGGAATATTTTCCCACCGGTTAATCAACGTGTGATTGTGTAAACCAATTGTGTAAACCTCCCGCTGGGGGGTTTAAAAACACTAACTTGAAAGCGAAAGTATAATATGGACGTCCGCACGGACATTGAAATGGTGGCGCTCGAATGAATTCCTATGGAAGTAGAAATTAACTAAACGTTCGCTCTGTTCTGCTCGCTAGTCGCCATGGACGCGCACCGTTATGAATGCCAGTGC